ATGTAGACAGATTTAATGATTATATGTTTAATTATATACGAGATATTTTAGAGATATCATTTAGTAATTTTCACAATTAATTATCCTTTTAATTTTAAATCAGCACATAAAGATATATGATCACTGGGAAACACCACGGACGGCAAACCTGTGTGAAGAGTAAGCTCTTCCTTACTGGGCATCGGAACCACTTGTTCTACTTCGAACTTATCTCTCTCGTAAAATATATAGTCTAGACAGGCAGAGAATTCCGGCGTATAATTTGTATATTCCGGCACGCCGCAAGCGCTAGACATGCAAAGGTCCTGTGTTAAGGATATGTTTTTTACAGTTTCCTCGGCATCTAAAAAAAAAGGAATTTTTCTTCTCATTTCATGAGACGTACTGATTTTGATCGCATTATGTTGAATAATAAAATAAAGCAGACAATTAAAAAGAAACAAGCTTTCATAAACTGATAATAAATAAAGAAAGTCACTCACTACTTTTCCAGTCTTCGCAGGTTTCTGAAACGTAATTCTTCGTCATCAATTGATAAATGCCGCATTCCGGCACACTGTTAAAATCTCCGCAAAATATCACGCTCACGTTACATTCGGGATTCTGTCAACATGCACGACAATTGTTAGTAAATTGTGTAATATAATAGAGACTTTTTTATAAGATATATATGATTTGCGAAAGTGTCAAATATATTTCTAAATATTTTTCTGAATATAATTTATGAATGTAAAAGGTTTTTGTTGGAGAAAAATCTACCTCTTCCTGTATTCTTTTCGCGACATCGTGTAAGTACGTAATTGCATAATATCCTTGCAACAAACGTATATGATCCGCATCAGGTTTAAAATATAAATGCGTGTTGCCGATGACCAAAATTTCAAATTGGTTCTCTTTCGATCGTAACGTTGTTATCTAAATCATTGCTAACGTTTATCCAATGAGTATATCTATTTAAAATCCTAATTATATCATATGTAATTACCTGAACGGTTGTATTTCTATTCAAAAATCTCTCCTTCATTTTATCATTGTCGATTTTAGACCAGATGGCAGCAAATTTAGGTAAATCAACATTTTGAGCCATTATGGTGCGTTCAAATCCTAATTTTTCGAATCTATCTTGATTGAAAAATGTAGCGAGTCCTTCAGTAACTTCATTCTTTGTAACGAACACACCATCGTAATTCAACATGTACAAAGAAGGCAACAAATCATATTCAAATATATTTTTATCTACCTCTTGCAAGCAAATTATATCACTATTAAAACCTACAATAAATTCATCAATATTAAAATTACGAAAATGATTAAATTGTTGTTATTGTTTCATTCAAAAACCTACATTTTGTTAACATTTTGTTTTAATATTAAAAAATTTCAGAAAGTTCATCAGTTTTGTGGACAATATGTAACTATTGTAACTAATATAAATTTATAAATTTATTTTATTAATTTTATTTTTTTTTTAAATAATTTAAAATATTTTGCGTTTTTAATAAAATGATTTAAATAACTCATATAGATTATATTTATCACTCACCTATTATTTCTTTAAGTATCAATTGCTTTCTGTAATCCATATCTAACGCATATTGTGGACAGTATGGGAATAATACATCTTTAGAAAAATCAGAATCGGCATATGTATCTGCCAGTATATTATAACTTATTACTCTGAAACTTTTTTTTCTTGTTTAATATATAGTTTGCAAGTAAAATACTTAGTACATGTCATATTAATATATGTTATATTACGTATAATACAGATTTTTCCAATACTTTATTCTTTATTATCTTTTATGAGTACCATACCTCCTATCCGATAATTTATGTTTCGTAAACTGATGTCGAATATCGAAAGGACATTCTCCAGGACCGGCTTCCACGACATTTTTTGATAGTATTTCCATCCTAGAACCTGAATCTGATTCATTCCGAGGTTCACAGCTAATTTTCAAATGGTGACCAATATCAGTCACGCTGGGTACATATAGATATCCATTACCTACATGTGTCCATGAATTTGGTTTGTTAAGAGAATCGTTTCTGTACCAGTCAAATATCGATCGCTTCGTGTCAGTATACAGTGATTCAAACTTGGATGGATAAGTTGGAAAACCTGCCAATATACATGATGGTAACGAAATTTTGGTGATATAAGGTGCATTTCGTTTTACTAAGAAGATTTTTTCGAAAATGACCAGTTTTAGTTCTGCAGAATCCTGCAAAAGGCTTTCACACAATGTATCACCATCCACTTCGACATCATTTTTGAGAAGCATGATCTTTCCAGTATTCACATTGTCTTTTGTCAAATCAAGTACCTCACAAGCAGTATTTTTCTTCTTTCTTTTTTCTATCTACAGAAAAAAATTTTTATTTCTCTCAGATATTTTTTTTTAAAGTTTATTTCTGGAAATATTAATTCTTTAGATTTCAATACTTAATTTGTTTAAAATTTGTATGAAAAATTCTATTTTGGATTTTTATTTTGTTTAGAAAAATTTTTTTGTAATATACTTATAGTTATTCTATATTAAAAATAATATTATAATATAAAATATAACAATAAATGGAAATCTAATAATAAGGAAAAGGAAAAAAAAACAAGAAGAAAACTCACTTTTTTGTTTACAACTTTGCAAACGTTGATATCGACTCTTTTAAGAAAATTGTTCACTCTTTCCGTAGTTTGTCTGGAAAAGTTAAACTGACGGTCGATCTTCGTCATCTTGTCCACATAACGAAATGAGATATCAAACATATCATTGCCTTTATCATAACGGAGAAATGCCTCGTTCATCTTTAGTAGTTTCGCCTGAAAATGCTTACTGCGATACGATGTAAGGATTGGTGAAATTAGATGAAATCTGTGCACAAGCAATTTAGCCGCGAATGTATTTCGCATTATAACCAATTGTGATTCATTCGGCTCGGAAATATATACAGATTTTTGGGACAGAAAATTAGACACTAAAAAATATTTTTAATTAAATTAAATTATTTAAATCGTTATTTAAATAAAGCATTAATCAAATCAGAGCATGCGTAAAGTAATTCAAGAAAATGTTTTTGAGGTTATAAATACCTTCGCGGTGTTCTACACGTGCGATAACCACGTAAATAAATCTAACGTAACTTCGACGAAGATACTCCGCTGTTACATTTCGGAGCAATTTTTGAGGTTTATCGATGACTTGATAATCAGCTGCGTCAATCGACCGGTATTACAAGTCAGTAAAATCAGTTTTGTATCGATAGATATTTGTAAAGATTATGTTAATTTTAGGTAAGTTAGATGGCGCCATAAGCACCATTATTGTAAAGTCACTAGATAACAAAGTACCGCGAATTGCCATCATTTTGGCTTCGTGATGCGTTATTCAAAATTTAACTATATTATATATTATATTAACTATATTATATGTTTAACTATATTATATTATAAGGAGAAATAAACCTCACAAATAAAAAATTATATCTTACAGATTATAGTCCTTTCCAACAATGTTTCTTTTGTCAATTAATTGAAGCTATTCTTCATGTCTATCGCCTATTATTGTCACGCGAAATAAATGGAAACCTCTTTCGCTGCGATTTTTGCAATTCTCAACATAGCAATCGGGCATTTTCGACGTTTTCTAATCAGTTCTAAATTTACACAAAGTCACAAACACATATAAAGTTATAACAGAATCAGGTTAGGATTGTATTTCAACTCATTACTTTGCTCAATAAACGAGAATGGATTAAAATGGATTGAAATTTTTTTCTATCTGAATGCGTATTTTAAATAACGAATACTTTTTTTGGATTTAATTGGATTCAATTGGATTCAATTAGATTCAATTGGATGTAAAACTGCATTTCTTATTCAAAATTTTGATTTGAACAATATTCACAATGCACATAGAAGAAGCTAATATTATTTTTAGATTGAAAGGTATAGAAATATGCTCCATGCAATTCCTATAAATGATTAAAAATGCATTCAGGATTGAAAAGCATTCATTTTAACATTCATGAATCAATATTTCTGAAAATCTGAATCCATTTCAATTCATTTCAATCCATTCTCGTTTGCTGAGTGTGTAGAAAATTACATGAAATGCACTATCTGAACTATTCGACGCCATTTTGGCTCCAAATGCTAATTCAATGAATTTTCCTATCGCGATACTTTGTTATTTAGTGACATTATTGGATAATAAATTTTCTGGATAATAAAAATAAAAAATAAAATCGAAACTTTACATTATTGTTAGATTTTTTAGTTTTAAATTTTTTGTTAATATATCTAATTAATTCATAAACTTTCCTCTGACAGGAAAGATAGGTAAGAATAGGTAAAAATAATTTAGACATATGATGTCTAAATTATTTTTTTTTAATAAAAAAAAGGCTCTTTCTTAAAGTAATTAAAAAGGTTATGATAAATAATTAAAAAAAAATTGTAAAAAAATTAATGTTATGTAAATTTGAAACTGGATCGGAACTGGACCTGTTTACCAGAGCGTCATGGAATTTTTAAATTAAACATTTAAAATTGATATATCTCTGTTTCATATATGATTGGATTATATTTAGAATACAAGTCTTCTTATCAAAATACATTTTATCAGTATATTATATGTTAATGTATTTCCCATTAATTAAAAAAACTGAATGTTAAATTTTACTTTTCTATATTTATATATTTTAATAAAAAATATTGGATCTGTATAATCAGTTAACTAATACTTAATAGTGTTTGTTTTATTAATGGATAATATAAAAGATCTATTTCTTAATAGGAAGGAAGAAAATAATATTACAGATTTAAATTTAATTAAATTGCTAAAGTGATGTGAAAAGTAAAGAAAAAGATATATATATAATTAATTCTCACGAAATTATATTCTATAATTAATTTCAATTTTATATGTTAAGTGGATAATATAATTTATTTATTTGTTCCCTAATTTTTTTCTTTGTATTTCTCTTCTTTTATATCTTGGCTATTTTTTTAATTGTGTTTCTTCACGATGTGTCTCTTCCGATTTTACTTCCAAATTTTTTTCTGATTTTGTTTCTTCATGTTCTTGCGATTTCGTTTCTTCGTATTCTTCTGATTTAGTTCCCTTATATTTTTCTGATTTCGTTTCTTCGCTTTTTTCTGATTTCGCTTCCTCAACTTGTTCTGATTTCGTTTCTCTGTATTCTGCTTGAATGTTTTCTTTCTCAGACTTTTCTGATTTTGTTTCTTCACGATTCTCTGTTTTTATTTCTTCGCGATTCTGTGATTTTGTTTCTTCACGATTCTCTATTTTTATTTCTTCGCGATTCTGTGACTTTGTTTCTTCACGATTCTCCGTTTTTATTTCTTCGCGATTCTGTGACTTTGTTTCTTCATAGTTCTCTGATTTTGTTTCTTCATAATTTTCTAATTTTATTTCTTTGCAATTCTTTGATTTTGTTTTCTCCTGTTTTTTAAATTTCGTCTCTTCGCGTTTTTTAAATTTTGTATCACTATGTTTTGCAAATATCGTCTCTTCAATTTTAGGAATCTGAGCAGACTTCTTTTGAAACTCTTCTCTCTTTTTATCTTTCAATCGCTCTTCTCTTATTGGATATTTAACAGTCACACATTTTGGTACTTTTCTCTTAATCATCTGTAAATTTTCTAATTTAATAATCACACTATCGATAATTTTATAATAATTATTTACCTTACGGGGTAATATCTTTTTGCTTGCAAATCTTTTAGTAGTTACAGTCTTATCCCAAATTATTTTTTCCTGCCACCAAATTCGTTGATATTCATTTGAGAGTAGTTGTTCTATGCAAGGTCTTTTCTCTCTATATGTATGCAAATTGCAAATAAAAATATTATTTATAACAGTATTATATTAATATAATGTATTCGATTTTTTTAAATATACCTAACAATAAAAATTAAAATTAAAATCAATTAAAATAAAAATCAATATAGAATATATATGTATAAATATAATAATAAATTATCCATCTGATTATACATTGTCTATATCATTTAATTATATGAAAAAATGCAATTTCAAGTTGAAAGATAATTTTTCGGTCGCTATTAAATGTGATAATTTTTCTGGTCGCTATTAAATTAATTATAATTCATAGACTTTTCATAATACTTTTCATAAGACGGCACGAACGCTCTCGTTGTTGTATAACTCGAAGACACAATGTTGTCCGGTGTTTTGCGCGGTACTGCAGGCGTCCATGCTTTTAAACGTATATCCGTTGCATTCATATGGATGACCCGAGGGTGCCTTTGAATATACTATCCTGCGTCGGTTATTAACGGTTCGCCGCGATTTCTTCTCAGATTTGGCGAGTTCTCGCGAAGGTTATCGCGGAAGACGAGCCTGACAAATGCATGGCGAATGCCGACTGCCGAGGCTGAATAACGAAGGAGGCTCTGGAATGACTTGGAATGACTAGAATGTGATTTCTGGTGAAATATTCGATGAGGTTAGTCACCGACTAATAGTTACCGATTAATAGTTATTTGTTTACATTCTTTCCTATAAAAACAAGATGAGCGTAATAAATAATATATTACAAAAATATAAATCTTTTTTAACAATAATTATGATGTATTACTGTCTAATATTATTCAATATTGAAAAAATAGATATTGAAGAAAAATTCTTAGATACTGAAATGATATAATTCAGTTAGAAAGAAATCTAATATTATTTGTGTCACATGAAATATTCTACATTCTTGTACATTTTACATTTTCTTTTTATTAGTAAAATTTGTATTATTTTATGTTCAAAAACATAGAATATATTTTGTAATATAAGACATATACATAAAGAAATAATTTTTTGCAATATTATATTTTGGAAATGTTGAAACTTTATGTTTACAAAATTTTATCATGGCATGAAACAGTTCTCATTTTCTATTTATTTAAAAAAAAAACATGTTATGTCAGTAGCCACACACTTTATTTTTGTTTCTTTTGAATACACAAGTAAGAGATAAAGTAATGGTCTGTAACGGTCAAAACTGGATCTTAAGTGCTTAAATATTTTCATATGAATTTATATATTATAGATGTGTTCAGAGAGACGCTATTAGTGTTACCTATGTCATTCTAACTTCATCGTTTATTAGACATAAAACGTAGATAAAATGACTCAAAAACGCTAATAGCCTGAATGCTTTTTATATATGTAGTTATTTGAATTGGGCGCCGAATTAATTTTTTAGACTTAGAAACACAATTGAACTAACAATAAGTACTGTAATATCACAGATTAAATTGATAAACAATTTAATAATTTGATGTTCCCCCCCCTCCCCCCCAATTAGGCATCCTGTTATATATATT